CTGACCACGTTCACCAAATTTCCTTCGCACAAAATATCCCACTAGAAAGTACCATATATGCATATAAAATAAAATAGATCATATAATATTATTAAAATTTAGACTCAAAATTATTTAATTAATCATGTAATATAAAAATTACTAAAGTACTTAAATTTTAATAAATAAATTTAATTTACCTTATTTCGCATATTCTCGTCTTTAAAAAAATTAAAGACACGGAGAGGAGGGAGAGGAAGCCAAAGAGAGGAGGTAGCACTAACAATTGTACCATTAGGTTGGCTTGGTCCAATTCCCTCATGAACACAAACTCGAACTCCACTACTATTTACGTCATGCATATGAGGGAAATCAAGTTTGTTATCACATGACATGCACAAACGTGCGCAGAAGTCCTTTATCATCCTGTGACAAAGCTTCAACATGCTCTTCATACCATTAGACATAACTGACATCAAAACAAAAAAAAATTAATTAATATAGAAAAATTTATAATATATATGTTAATATTTTCATTCTACTTATAATATATATATATGTTAATTACTGTTTAACTAGATATTTAATACATTTCTTCATCTATAAAAAATTATAATTTCGAGTTAGATTGTGCTCCCATGTGCATCTTTATTTAGAAATTATTTATGTGATATTTTAATTGGTGTTTATATATTATTTAATTGATGAGTATATATATTATGTGCTAAAAAATTATAATACATATATATAATATACAAGATATATCTCATAGGTGCATAAGAACACTAGCAAAACATTGCATCATAGTTTTGGTGATAATCAAACTAACTCAATCTAATTTTTTTATCAATTATTGACCACATTAATTGACATTATAAGTTTTACATCAATTACAACTGTAAAGTAGTATAATTAAAACATTATTTATTACGTTTTAGTTATACTTAGATAAAGTAATGAAGTTATGCATAATTATAATTTTGTCTATATTTAAGATTTATTTTAATTACATACACATATCACTTTTACCTGAGCTGTGATTAGAATCACAAGAATTTTCAGTTTTAGAGAAAGTTAATCTCTCACATATTCTTTGAAGTGCGACGATCCATCGCTCAGCTCCATATGCAGATCCACTGCATAGTAGATCTCTATATAATTGATGAGTTAAAATTTTATCATCAACTTCTACGTGTTCGATCCAAATAACCTATCATACATGTTCCCAAAAATGGTAATGTAAATATATGAAGTAAATATTAATAACTTAATAAAAACATCTAATTAGTGATCCATAAATTACATTTCAAAAGTAAACAATAAAAATATATGATCATACAAATCTCTTAGTTTGTCCAAAATTAATAACGTATTCGTACATACATGTATGCATAAATACGTTATCATATGCAATAACGAAGCATATTATATCTACAACTCTAATTTTTGTTTAGGGTTTGGAGTTGCATACCTTTGAACACCCATTTGCCATATCTTGAATCATACATCCAGAAGGTAGCTTCCAACAACGAGGACGAGTATGATCTTTTAAATCATAAGATACATCCACCATCACCCATAAGCCTGCTTCTAATTGCCGGCAGTTCCGAAGGATGATGAATTCACGAGCCGGCACCAACGGAGACAGAATGTGCATTTGCTCATACATCTGTCATCATATATCATTCACATATATATTTCCATTAACATAAATCATATAAGTACTTATATATATCTGTTAATGCGCAATAATTAAATTAAACTACGTACAAGCAGTTCTAGTGATATTAAATATATATATAAATCCATGCTGCAATATAAATTAAAGCATATATATAAAATAACTAGATAAAAATGATATATTGTGGCTAGCTCTATGATATATATGGGTATGTGTGTATATATGCATATTTACCAGCAACAAGCAACTATTTTTATTGCCACTAGCTCCAGCTTGAACTTCATAAAGTTTTTCTGCCTTGCAAACAATTGTCGGGAAAAGATCCGTCCATTTCACCTGAAATTGAAAAGTATGATAATATGTAACATATATGATATTATATGGATATGATAATTCATGTATTTAGCATTAAATAATTACTTACTCCATATATGTATATATGATAAACTGAAATTAGAGAACTAGAACCATATAAACACTTAAAATGAAGACTTACTGGATCCATAATCATTTCAATCAAGTGAGATCCATTCATTATTATCATCCCCGATTCTTTCGATGACTCGATTCGAGAATTCATATTCTTAAACCCATTAACCTTAGGGAAGATCTTCTCGTATGTATCACGATGAATAACTGCTCTTGATCCACTCGATTCTGACCTAATCCACAATGGTTCATTGACGCTCAAGAGCCTAACTAGTTCATCCATGGCAGATGCAGCAGTTTCTACCATGAAAGCTTTCTCTACATCTGAAATCAGCCAAGGATCGAAGTATTGTCGATGATCGATAACACGATTATTCACTGATAAATTGTTTCCAATATTTTCTTGATATTTTTGGATGAAATTATCAAGATTGTCGACAGAAGGGAATCCAATTTGAGTCGAATAACTTGGTGGCAAGGAATCAAAAGCATTGGACGGTCCTTTGCCTCTGGTTGGTGAACTCATTTCTTCAAACTGGGAAACTGGTTTCCCTGTGTACTTCGCAAGAAAGTTACTCACCTTCTCATGCTGTAAAACAAAAGTGAATAATGTCATTAGTTTTACTAATTATCTACATAAATATATATACGTATTTATATTAAATATAAACTGTATGTTTTAATATAGTATCTTTCAATACCTCTCAAATGGATATATGGGTAGGAATTGATACATTTGAAGTTGCTACAAAAATATATATAACATATGTGTATTTATATGTTAATTATGATTACTACCTCTTCTTTCAATTGGGCATTTTCCATCCGAAGTTTTTGTAGGCTGCGTTGACGTTCTTCTAAACCAAAAGGAGGACCACCACAAGCAGGACAAATTGCATTCTTTAATGCCTCTCTAATTGCCAGATTCTCGCATTGAATTCGCTCATTTTCTTCCCGGAGAGCCGAGTTGTCTGCTCGCTCACTTTGAGCCTGAATATCCACATAACATATATATAGTTCAGAAAATAAAAAAAGAAGAATTAATTAAATGGGAACCCTAATTTGAACAACTTAAACTTTTCTTTTGAAGAAAAAAAAACAACCCTTGTTTGAGTCCTCTTGTTTTGAAACCAGAACTTGACTTGTTTAGGGTCTAGTCCAAGTTCCCTACTGAGTTGACGTCTTTGGCTTTCATCTGGGTGAGGACAGTTCTCGAAAAATCTTCAAACACCCAACAAGTTAGATGGGTTAGAATTTTCCATTATAAACTGAATGAGATGAGTATATATGTGATCTACGATGATTAAGATCAATATCATCAACGTAAACTAAGATCGAATTGTCTAAAAAAATTAATAAAAAAAAAAACCTCATGAGTTACGATCAAATTTTACATAAACTAAGATCATAATTAAAAAATTTAATTAAAAAAGTTAATAAATTAAATTGATCTACTTAAAAGTTGGTCCGAGAAGGTATTTATTGTCACTTCCATAAAATGAGTACTCATAATTAAAGGTATTGTATCTGACTATTGATACGATCATGAATTACGTATAAATTTATCAACATAAATTAAGATTATTTTTAAATAATTAAAAAAAATTAACTAATCATATTGATCAACATAAAAATTAGTTTAAAAATATATTTATTGTTATTTTTACAAAATAGATACTTACAATTCGAGATGTTGTATTTGGCTACTATTATGACGATGGTGGGTCCTTTTTTCTGAATCACTACGATTTGAAGTTCTTTGTTCTTCACTTGAGTTGTTAGTACCACTGTTTCCCATCGCGATATCCATTGTAGCACCCTAGCTCTCAACAAGCGAAATGATTATGAACTTGTATATCTGAATTGGATATTCTTAATAATGACAGTTCATACCAGAGGGAGAGAGAGAGATAGAGAGAGAGGGAGATGTATCACATGTAAATGATGACTAATCTTCTTATTTGGTCAAATCCAAAGAAAAGACAAAACCAAAACTAGCCTTATAAAGAGATTTGCAAGAATCCGTTTCATGTATCTGATATGGGTTTTGGATTTTCTTTTATTATATTCCAACCTTCCTTTTTATAAAAATTTCTCTCCTTTGAAATTATGATTTTGATTTTAAAATAAGAATACACGTGAAGAATGTAACACTGAAAATTAACAAAATCCTGAGCAAAAAAAGATATAAAATATTCCTTGTATATAAAAAAAATACTAAAAACGGGTTCTTTTTTCAAGATTTTTCAATGTTCATAAGTGTTAAACCGTTGAAGAAATTAATCTCTATGACCACATTCAACTCATGAGATGTTTGAATTGCAAGTGATATGCTTTAGATAGATTCATTGTGTAGGCCCCACTAATATTATTAAAATTGGTAAAAATAATAATTTAATTATATACTTTTAAAATTATTCAATTTAGTTAATATTTTTAATTTTATATTAAATGAGTTAAGGATATCTCATGCATTGAATTGTGTATCACTTTTTCATTTATGGTTGTACAAATGAATGTCACATAATATATGACATAACATAAAAATTTAAATATCAACCAATTCAATCTGATTTTTTTTTAAAAAATAATAATATAAACGTGACATATCTTTTCACTCTCAAATTCTTATTTTTTTTCACTTTGCTCACTCTCTCGTTCCTCTCTGACACTTAACCTTCGCCTAAATCTTCTTCCTTCATTCAAATTCCTTTTTCGAATCCTAAGCTACCAATGTTCATAAAAAAACTTAGAATTTTTTTTTCTCTCACTAAATACTATTTTTTTCATGCTACTCTCTCTCTCTCTCTCTCTCTTCTCTATTGCTCAATTCCTTTACTCACATACTCTCTAATGCTCATATATTCTTAACGAAATTCCCAAAAGCCTAGAAGCTCACCCCCAAAATTAAAGCTCTCAAGTCCTCGCCCTCTCGGTCTTGTTAGCTTCTTCCTTTCGTAATTGTAACCTCCTCAGCTCTGATTTAAAATTAAAAGGATTTATTTAACTAAATTTGAGAGATGAACCAATTTAAATAAAAATTATACGTATATTGATCAATTTATTATTTTATATGTAAAAATTTACATACTTCGTCATGTATTTATATATATATATTTTCAAAAGATTAAATATTTGAGTGTTTCGGGGTGTGTCAATATAATTTGAAGCTCATAAAAATTATTTAAAATTCAGTTAAAATTTATTTAATTAATTTTTTTAATTTTTTAATCCTTTGTGATTACCGAATTAAGAAGATTTAGTCATCACAAATTTTTTTTTTTTCATCTAAAAATATAATAGAATTATTGAGATGAAATTCAATTAGTATATCAATTATAAAGTATTACTAGTTTACCATCTCATTATTATTTAAGAATTCATACTATTCTTTATCAATGATGTTTACTACTCTTTGTTTATATGACTATTCGATATTATCTTATATAATAATTTAGACACATTTAGCATTTTGTTTTTTGGAATGCAATGCTATTTTAATTTTTTTTAAAAAAAGATTAAAACATAACAATCTTGCATTCCAAAAAAGAAAAAAAAAACTAACTTAGATGGAATATTTAGTATTTAATATATGAGCAAAACATTATATTTTTGATGAATTAAGTAGGTGTTTGGGATGACTATAATTTATGTTGTGAATTTTAAAAATGTTATTAAATTAGTAATTTATTAAATTTTTTTAATTAAAAATTATTTTATATTTAGTCAAAATAATTATAAAAAGTGTTGTTTCTTTAAAAAAAAATAAGAATTTTATATTTAATAAAATTTATTTTAAAATTTTTAATGTAAATTTTTAATAAATGTCAAAATTATTTTTAACAAGTTACACATTATAATTTTTTATTTTAAATTTATCAAAAACATACTTTAATTTTCACTGTTACCAAAAATATTTTTTTGAGAAAAAAAAAATACCGGGCTTAATTCAAATCAGGCTTCGTGGATATCTTCGGCTCTGTCAACACTCAGTAGTCGTTTATGTTTCAGTCGCCAATCTCGACCACAGCGACCAGCCGTCCGATTCCTCATTTTCGCGCCAGTCACTGTCCAGCCATCAGCCAAAGTCGCCAGAACTTCTGCCTTCTCTTCTTTCTCTCCTCGCCGTGTCCTCCTCATCTTTCGATTTTCCTTTTTGCGGTTCTTTCATATTCGCGTAGTTTAGGTCTTTCCTCGGGTTGCATGGAAGGATACCGCCGGCACCAGGTGTTTTTCTTCTCTATCTCACGGCATTTGTTTGTGTAATTGAACTAGCCGATGAATCTCCTGGCTAGTTAATTTTCTTGTGGTTAATGGAGGTGGAGTAGATTGGTTGCTGTTAAGTGATCCATTTTCGCACAAATTTTTCTAACACAACAACATATCTGTCTATGATTTTAAGCAATCGACATTACAATTAAAGTTCTGATGTTCACAAAAACAAACATTTAATCCATTGTTCTACTCAATCTTAGAGGAGCTAAGACCTTCTTTAATCTTCTGAATCGTTGAGGTGACAAGAGCGTTGACAATAGCTCTAGATTCCATGTTCAGGACTTTTGTAGTTGTAGGACTAGAAACAGTGGCTTGAAAAATCACCGTCAGAAGAGAACCGCCACTTCTGATACTTGCGCTAGTATCAGCACTGGTTGAAGCTCCTCCTGTATTATTTTGATGGCCATCAGTAGAGATCACAAAGCCTGAGGGAAGAATAGGTATGCTCATTGTAATGTCATCACTGGTTATTGCCATATTCATGGCTGGTACATCAATTGGAGCATATACCACCATTCCTCCCAAGCTATCGATGAAACTCTCTTGAGCCAGTACCATGCCCTCCTCATCAGAGTTGAGAGGCTGCCACATGAAGGTGGTAAGTTAAAAAGAGAGAGAGAGAGAGAGAGAGAGAGTTAATACAATGGTTTTGTTAAATATACATTAGAAAATGTTTACTAGGTGTGAGTTCACATACAAATATGTTATTTTATATTAAACATTAAATTTAACATGTGTAATTTATTATTAATAAAATGGGTATTTATTAAAAGAAATTAGTAGAGAAATATTTGACCTCAGTTAATCCAAGAGAAAAGGTGAAGTAGTAGAGAATTTGCTAAACTATTAATGGTTACCCAAATTCAATTCTATAGTTCTCTCAATTAATTCTATCATATATAAATTAAACTATTTAGAAAGCTAAATTAAAGAGTACCTTAACACGGAAAATAAAATAAGTACTTAAAAAATACTTACTTTAATAATAGAGATACAATTTCCCGAATTATTGCTATTTGTGATTTGATTGATCACATTCACCGGATTTCCATAGCACATGATGTCCCACTGCAAAGTACATATATGCAAATACAATAAAAAGGGATCATATAATATTATTAGAATTTAGACCCAAAATTATTTAATTAATCATGTAATAAAAAATTACCAAGGTACTTAAATTACAATAAACCAAATTAATTTACCTTCCCTCGCATTTTCTCATCTTTTAAAAAATTAAAGACATGGAGAGGAGGGAGAGGAAGCCAAAGAGAGGAGGCAGCATTGACGATTGTGCCACTAGGTTGGCCTGGTCCCATTCCCTCACGAATACAAACTCGAATTCCAGTACCGTTGGATTCACATGTATGAATGAAATCAAGTTTGTTGTCACCCGATATGCACATACTTGCACAAAAATCTTTTATCATCCTCTGACAAAGCTTCAGTATGCTCTTCATACCATCAGATATAGCTGAAACTATAATAAAAAAGACATATTAATTAATATAGAGAAACTTATAATATATGTATTAAAATTATTATTCTATTTATAATATACATATGTCAACTACTGTTTAATTTAATAATCGATACATTTCTTTCTCTATAAGAAGTTGTAATTTTAAGTCATATTGTACTTTTATGTGTATTCTTATTTAAAGATTATTCACGTGGTGTTGTAATTGGTGTGTGTATATCACTTAATTAATGAGTGTATACATCTTCTACCAAAAATTATAATATACATATATAATATACAAGATATATCTCATACGTTTTGCATAAGAACAATAACAAAACATTGCATCATAGTCTTGGTGATAATGAAGCCAACTTACTCTAATTTTTGTATCTAGTATTAAACACATTAATTAGTATTATAAGTTTTACATCAATTACAACTGTAAAGTAGTATAATTAAAATAATATTTATTACATTTTAGTTATACTTAGAAAAATTACTGAAGTTATGCACAATTATAATATATCGCACAAATAGAAAATATAATTTTGTACAAAGAAGACACCTTCTATTTGGAGTACCGAACTATTATGGAAATCGAGTTCATTATTGAAATTTAGACACATTATTTTGTTTATAATTTTGTCTGCATTTGAGATTAATTTTATTTATATACACTTGTCATATTTACCTGGATTGTGATGATAATCATGAGGATTTTCAGCTATAGAGAAACTCAATCTCTCATACATTCGTTGAAGTGTGACAATCCATCGTTCAGCTCCATATCCAGATCCATTGCATAATATTTCTTTATACAATCGATGAGTCGGAGTTTTATCATCAACTTCCACATGTTCGATCCAAATAACCTATCATAAATGTTCTAAAAAATCGTAACATAATCATATAAAGTATATTTATAGTAACAACTTAATAAAAATATCTATGGGATAATCAATAAATTACATTACAAAAGTAAACAACAAAAATATATAATCTACACAAATTACTTAGTTCATCCAAAATTAATAGGGTGAATGTACATACGGACATACACGTGTATGCCTAAGTACGTTACCACATGCAATTACAAAGCATATTACGTCTACGACTGCAATTATTTTTTTTTAGGGTTTGAAATTGCGCACCTTAGAACACCCATTAGCCGTTTCTTGAATCATACATCCAGAAGGTAGCTTCCAACAATGAGAAGAGGGGGTGTGACCTTTTAAATCATATGATACATCCACCACCACCCATAAGCCTGCTTCTAATTGCTGGCAGTGGCGAAGATGATGAATTCACGAGCCGGCACAAACGGAGAAAGAATGTGCATTTGCTCATTCATCTGCATATATATCATATATATATTTTCATTAATATAAATCA